CTCATTTAATTTTATGTCTCATAGGTTTTATACCGAGTACAATAAAGTTTAACTAACTAATAATTCAACCATAAACCTAAAAATTTACAGCCAATTTTGAAAAAGATGCATCTTAGCTCAGAAAATTGTTATTGACTATGTCAATGCTGTTGTAATGAAATGCTTCTTCTAAGTATGTGGTTATTAAATAAATAATTAACTGGAAAAAAAAAGCTGGGCGTGGTGGCACACACCTTTAATCCCAGCACTCAGGACGCAGAGGCAGGCGGATCTCTGTGAGTTCTAAGCCAGCCTGGTCTACATAGTGAGTTCCAGGACAGCTGGGCCTACTGGGAGACCCTGCCTCAAAAAGACCAAAAAGAAAAAAGCAAAGTAAAAAGAGGGATGCAGTGCAGTGGTAGAGGGCCTGCCTAGCATGTGCGAGGCTCTGGGTTTAACCCTCAGTATCACCAAAAATTTTTAAAAATTACAAGTAATAAATAAATACATAAATAAAATTCTCAGTGCCGGGTGGGTGTGGCAGCCTGCCTGTAATTCCAGCCTCAGAAGTTGGAGATGGGATCCCTGGAGCAAACTAGCTAGCAAGGAGCCTATGGGTGATCCCTAAGTTTGACTGAGAAACTGTCTCATCTATGACCATACCACCCTGAACGCACCCAATCTTGTCTGATCTTGGAAGCTAAGCAGGGTCAGGCCTGGTTAGTACTTGGATGGGAGACGAGACTCTGCTTCAAAGAGTAAGGTGAAAGTCACATGGGGGCTAACGACTCTCAGTGACTCCAGTTCCAGGGGATCCAACACCCTCTTCTGGCCTCTGTGGGCATTGCACACATAGCTGCACTTACATGCAGGCAAATACTCATACACATAAAAGAGAAAAAAATAGGGCAGAAAAATGCTCCAGGAATATTCCAGACATCAACCTCTAGCCTCCACATGCATGCTCACACACATCACACACACACACACACACACACACACACACACACACGGAGAAAGAATTAAAAAGTTCTGGGGCAAATAGATTGTATTTTAGAGAAAAGCTGCAGACTGAGGGCTGAGGACAGACGACACGGGATAAGTCATATCTTTGCACTCTGACCTGCACTTGCCTTCCAGACCTAGCTCCCCCCTGTTTGCCAAATGGTCTTGGTGACTGGCGACGCTGAATTCCCGGTGTGAAAATCACTCCTGAATAGACCAAGCAGGACTTGCTATTTAGGGAGATTTTTGGCACAGCTAAGAGCCCCTTTGTGCTACAAATAGGCGCCGTCATTAAAAATAGTTGAGCTGGCACGTGTTTTTGTGTGTAGGGGGCAGTATGAAGTCATTTCTTGAAGTGGGGCACCCCTGTCCTTGGCATGGTGGCGAATGTGGGGAGCCCTGACTGTGAGTGTGCTCCTAGGGTCTGGGACCTCCTTCTCCTCTCCCAGGAGGGTCTTGCTCTCTCTGGGGCACAGAGCTCGTCAGTTGCAGTGTCTGGCATTACTCATCACTCTTTCTCTCACATCAGCCTTTGGCTCCTGGTAGCAAAAATAAAGTTTCTGCAGGTGGCAGGAAAAGATTGAGTGGAAGTCACTGGCCAGCAGGGGGTGCTGCAGGGTCTCTAATTCCAGCACCTCCTGCTCTCTGGGTGAAGACTTTGAAAGGCTGATAAATCAATTCCCGCTTTCTTCCCTAGGGATCACAACTGATACCAAACAGAAAGGTGGGAGGACCTGAACTTGCTGAGCTGGCTCAGGAGCCCAGCTGCTTCCCCCAAGTCCTCCTGATGGAGGCAGATGGTCAGGCAGATAAGGGGCAGGGAATGGGGATGCGGTGGGTCAGCTAGCAGATCAGCCCAGTTCTGTTCCATCTGGGATTTTGTGATGACAGCTGAGCATGGTAGGGTGACCCCCAGGCAACTGGGTGGATGGTTCTCAGCCTTTTGCTGAAGTGATGAGTCTCCCTCGCTAGCCTGGGTGCCAACAACTGGCACCCCCAATTCTGCTGCCCCCTTTTAAGTTCTTTAAACTTTTGGGAAGGGACCTTCTTTCTTTTTCTTTTCTTTTTTTTGTGAGACAAAGGGTCTCACATTGTAGCTTAGGCTAGCCTGGAACTCACTATATAGCCTAGACCTGCCTTGAACTCATGGCAATTCTCCTGCCTCTGCCTCCCAAGGACTGGGATTATAGGTGTGAGCCACAATACTTTTTTTTTTCCAAAAAACTTTAGATTTGCTTATTTCTATTTTATGTGTTTGTGTGTTTTGCCTGCATGTATGTAAGTGCACCATGTGCATGGAATGCCCATAGAGGCCAGAAGAGGGTGTTGGATTTCCTGGAACTGGCGTTCTAGACTGTGTTAGCCACCATGTGGGGGCTGGGAATCGAACCTGGGTCCTCTCTCTGCAGGAGCACTCAGTGCTCTTAACCACTGAGCCGTCTCTCCATCCCCTCCTTAAAAAAAAAAAACAAAAAACCAAAACCTTAAGACACATACAGTCCATTGAGAAGTTCTGTGAGAAGAGGGTAATTTTGGGAAGCAGGGTCCATTCAGGCCTGTGTCCCACCATCCTTAGAATGTGCCCTGTGTGAGATGCAGGTGCAGGAACAATCTGCTAACATCCAGAGTTAAATGGGAAAAAAACCCCAAATAGCTAATGGTGCTATTCTTCCAGAAGAGCCATTGGGCCAGCAGCCTGTTAACAAGGTGATCAACCCATGCTCATAGAGTGGAGTGGCCAGGGGAGAGACTGAGAGGAGAGCAGAGTGCCTTATTCTCACTGAGAAGTCACTGAAGGATCCCAGAGAAGGGTAGGGAAGTGAGTGTGTGGGGGTGGGGATCGGGGGCCCAATGGGCTAAGGAGGTCTGTCTAGTGATTTGATAGTTGAACATAATATAAAAGAGTGTGCATGCAAAGATCCAGTGGCACAGTGTTCTAGAAAAGAGGGGCAGCATGTACAAAGGGCCTGTGGCAGAAGAGGGGGCAACATGTT